TCCACTACTAACTCCCACTTCAATTGCTAATTTGAAATTAAATTTCACACAAAAAAATTTAAGATTTATTTTGTGAGATAATTTGAATGATTTGATAAGATTTTTTTGGTAATAGAAGATATGTATTTGTTTTGAATTTCGTAACTGTGTGGAATCTCTAACATTTTAAATTTAATTTTCAGTACGACACTTTGGAGCATGCTGAGTTCAGTTTACGTGATAGAGTACGGACTGGAGGGATGTCCACCGACCAGATGATGGAGTTGGCTAACATGATGGCATCAGGGGTTGCATCTTTAGGTTTGGATCGACGTCGATATCCTGATGTTACAGTACCTATACAGCAGTCTTATGATGAGCCCAGCATGGCTATTTGACCAGAGCGTATGGATCTGACACCATACTGGATCGTCCCAGAGCCATAGTTCAGACAGGAGCATAGGCCACATAGACATCGACATGAGCATCGTGATGTACCTAACCTTAGTCCGTATTTCATATCAACAGCGAGCACAGCCCGTCCGGCCTACTACGACCTTCCAGTTCAAGCTGCCGTTTCAGCCGGGCACTTATTCGAAATATCAGACAGCCACTTCTTCAGGATTTCAGGCAGGACCTCATTAAGCCTTTCATCCTCCTCCTCAGCCACAGTTTCACTCGGGACTTTCTTCGAGCTTTTATCCACCAGACGTTAGCTTCCATACACCGCAACATGCTACGATGGGAGGCAGATACATGGCCTCAGGTAGTGATAGTAGAGCAGTCTCACTGTCAGACCTGTGGGACGCTCTACAGGGTGATCAGACTTTTCAGGATACAATGTGGTCTTACGAGCAGGAGCTTCAGGCACGGGAGTATGGTGGCGGTGCACCAGAGAAGCAGATTCAGTTTCAACATGATGATATGTTCAGTACAAAGGATCAGGATGGTGGTGTCGAGGGAGATCAGCCCCAGCCCCAACATGATGATGGTAGGCATCCACAGATCAGGCGGGGACCGAGGTGTGGTACTGGAGACCATCTAGTGGATCTGCATGGTGGTCGGCGTGGTAGTCGTTAGTGTTTCTATGATGTTTATGTTATTATTATGTACTTGTGTTGATTATTTATGTGGACTTATTTGTGGAATATTTTTAATTTCATGTATTATTGTCAGTCATGTATAGTTCTATTTAGTCTAAAATCAAAACTTTAACTATAAAAACAACAAACAACAACAACTCAAACATTTTATAATTGTCCCAACAACAACAACAACTTATGCATAGAAAATCGAAAGTTCCAGACAACTTCAAACCATAAGAACTACTTGGAAAAACAACAACTACTACATTTAATAAAAGTTTCACCAATCTACATACCACGTCTATTACCACTACTTCCTCTTCTACCACCTCTCGCACGTCGTTGGCCACCACTTCCTCTTCATAGGCTCCATCTGCCACTTGCTTGGCCACCACAAGTTGATGCATTATGTCCAGACTAGTTACAGCTACTACACACTCGTTGCGCTGCACCCTCTCTTGGCCAATCCATCTCGTTGTGAATTCTTGTTGATCGTGGCCTACTCAACTTCCTAATCATGTGCACATTAGGATGGAGAGTAGGGCCATCATGCTTCTTCCAACCCTTAGGTTCACCAAGAGGTGTGAAGCTTGTCCCATAACAAGCCAACATTGTTTCAAGCTTGTAGATGTCATTACAAACCTATACGGGTTAGCCCCCATTCGGTTGCAAGCTGCAATGGCATGAGAGAAAGGAATTTTATTTCCTTGAAATTTCCGACAAAAAATTAATTTATAATTCCACAAAGCAGAGCCCGCAAATTATCCCGCCATATTTAATCCATATTTCGTATGAGATGGATCATACGACAGAGATGGCATGTGTAGAACATACCGCCATATTTGACTGGTGTACGGTAAAGGTCACCATATATACATATATCTGGACCATTAATTAAAACAAGTTGTGTTTATTAATCAATTTAATCCATATTTCTATATCCAGGATACCTCTAAACGGATTGATATGTATATATATATATATAGAGAGAGAGAGAGAGAGAGAGAGAGAATTACTATGTACTAACTAATTATTACAATTCGAATACGATAGTTAATCAAAACTAAAAATTAGTCTGAAGAATGATATCTCTCAAGTAAATGCTAGGTTCGCTATGTAATCCATTATAGCTTCAATAGGAAAATATGTGGTGTGAAATGTATTCATCTACTAAGTTATTACTCCTTATTAACCTAGAATACTATAAATCATTGTCAAGGTAGCCGAACAACACCAAGCGTTAAATAGTTTCATATGGTAGAAAATAGATTAAAAACAAGTCGTGATTAAAACCTCATGGGCAGATAATAAAAACACAAAGTTTCTCCCGAAAATTGGGGGATTAATTCATGATGAAAGAAAGAACATAAACATTCTAATGTTAACATAATAACTATTTACCTAAAGGAAATAATAAGAAAGTGCTAGAATCACCAACTTGCAAAAGTAATTCTTTCTTAAAAATCCTCAACTACAAAGTGTGATCTCTTCCTTTAATCCTCTCCCAAAAGCCAAAAGTGGATTTTCATTTTTTTTATTTTTTGTTGTTGCTATTATCCTCCTTTATTTGTCTCTCTAAATTAGTCTCCAAAAAATGACGTTCTCCCCTTTTAACCTTCATTCCCACATATTTTTCTTTCCAAAATCATGCACCTTCAGCTCCCATTTTAAAGAGAAAAATACTGCAGGCCAAAGTTTTTGTCGGTACTTAAAATTTTCTGCATTTTTTATCTATTACTGAGTTACCTGATCCAATTGCTTTATGAGGGATACTATTAGTTTAGTGAAGATTCCAACCCAGATTGGTTTGGGTCTTCCTTGGTTTAGCCAACTGCTGGGTGTTTGTGTCTGCATGTCAGCAATTTATCACTGCACCTAGCGCTACAAATGAGGCAAGTCGAGTCAAGTTTTGTTCTAATATATGTTTGGCTCGTTAATAAATAAGTCAAATTCGATGTCAGCCTGTTTACTAAAACATTGACTTCTATTTGATTCGAGTTTGACTTGAGCACGACTCATCAATTAACTCGTGAAATAGGCTCAAACTAAGGTATCATATAATTTAGTTCATAATTTTTAATTATTCATACCGTGCTATATAATAGTAATTAGTATATATGCAATCTATGATACATAATTTTGTGAATATTATAAATGAGATATATTTGATAACGTGCTCAAACTCTTAAAAATCATATGTGGTGAGATATTTAATATAACAATTCTAGGAATTATCAATAAGTTGATGATAAACTATTAAGCGATTCGCTCATAAGTAGCTAGTTGAGGTGGCTCGCTAGCCATACAGTCGAGCCAGCTCATCGCTCGAAACGAGCTACGTCATGAATTAATCTTTACAAGCTCCCTAGTCAAGCCGGTTCAGAAGCTTTGCGAGTCGAACACGTCTTAGATCAAGCTCGGCTCATAAGTAAACGAGTAGAGTGTCGAACCAGTTTTTACCGAGCCGAACGTCTGACCGCTCATGAGCAGTTTATAATGGAACTAGGGCTATTCCATGGTCAATATTGTACTAAGTCAACACAATTTAAACACAATCATACATAACTATCAATAATTTTTTCACATAACGCATGTATGTTAAGAAGGTCCAAATCCGTGTGGCACATGAGATTCGAGGGTTCAAATTCATCGACCCCAGAAGGCTTATAAATCACACCTATAGGACTGTATCATTTGGACAAATAAAAATGCTTCAAATTAAGGATAGTAAGGTACTTCATATTTAACAACTATAAATCTATAACAACAAAATTCATGAAAAATCCAACAAACAAACAATAAAGTTTCCCAAAACTCTATTTTTTCATGACTCACTGGATAGATTTTTTTGTGTTGGAAATGTCTCTACACATTTTATTAATAGTGGTTGGTTGAGTTTGTATGCACCACCATGCATATTCTAAGAAAGACGTAGGAAAAAAAAATAAAAAATTGCACTTTGATGAGTTTTCTCTGTTAGAATTACTTTTAGCATATGTAAGTCGGAGAAAACTTAACTTGTCATATATCAAAGGTTAATCGGACTATCTGGATCACATTGTAGATCATCTCAATCGTAAAGCGGAAATCGGTAGATGATCTATGACCGGACGATACTGGCAACAGCACGACCCAAGAGATTTTGTAGCCTTTCTCAATGAAACGGCCTCAGGAAAGGATCAAAAGGAAACACGCCTACTTCTCTAAGCAATCATAAAACCAAGCGTGTTCATGAATAAAACAAACAAAAAAATGAGAACCGAAAAAACGAAAAGGAGTTAGTTGTGTGACATATATTATTTTAGTTTACAAGCAAAAGTGACGGTTCAAAGATATCATTATCTACCTATTGGTATGTATACTCGATATATGTTCATTAGGAAATGATCAAAAGGAAACACGCCTATTTCTATGCAACTAATCTTTGGTCGAGAATCCCGTGTATTAGTTATGTTTAAAACTCATCGTTCTCTACTTGCAGATGAAGCAAATAATTGGCAATTTAACAGTACCAAATATCCAGAAATCTAACTTTTCTAAATTTGCTTTCATACCTACATTAAGCAACAAGTTACTAGCTAGCTACGCGAGTGATACGAAGTCGAGAGATGCTTGATAACAATTGCCCTTGTAGAATGTGAGTTGCGATCATTACATAAAAAGCCGGAAATCTCCCCGTGAGGAGTGAGGACACAACTTGTGACCGCAATCTAAACAAAACACGGTTTCTTTTAATTTCCGGCGATCGGCAGAAACGAACGATATGATACCATCGGCCGGCTTCCAAACCTATAGCTTGAAATATTGGTCACGCACGTACCATCTATAAATTAATTAAACCATTTCATTGGCTTTTAGTTCCCGCCTCTTTGCCTTTATAATAAACCCACGACCCTACTTATTTCACAATTGAGCCACATGCACCAATAGGACGGATTAGCAAACATAAACATGTCTCAAAACCTTTTCCTTCTTTCTCTCTTGGTTTCCCTTTCCGGCGTCGCCGCCACCCATGCCTCTGACGTGCCCGGCGAAGTGGTGAACTTCACCGCCATCAACACCACGCCGAAAACAGCCGGCGGCGCTATCTTCGCGCGCCACGTCGGCACCAACTACACCTGCCACGTCATGTCCAACGCCACCAATTTCATATGGACGAGTGTCTTCCGCGAGACGACCAACGGCAGCCGTAGAGAGTTCGCCAACGTGACGTTGCTGGTGAAGGACATGGACGGCGTGGCGTACACCGTGGACAACGAGATCAGTCTCGGCGCCGACTACGTGGGGAACTACTCCAACGGCGGCGATGACGTCAGGCGTGAGGTGGCCGGGGTGGTGTATCACGAGATGACGCACGTGTGGCAGTGGTTCGGTGGCCAGCAAGGGGAAAGTGTCCCGGGTGGATTGATTGAAGGGATTGCGGATTTCGTTAGGTTGAGAGCTGGTTTGGCCCCACCTCCGGGTCGTTGGGTCAAACCGGGGGAGGGCGATAAGTGGGACCAAGGGTACGACGTTACGGCTATGTTTTTGGATTATTGCGACGGACTGAAGAACAACGGTTTCGTAGCTGAGCTTAATAAGAAGATGAGAGATGGTTATAACGTGACGTTTTTCAAGGAGTTGCTTGGCAAGAGCGTGGATGAGCTCTGGAAGGACTACAAGGCTAAACATGGAAAGTGACTAAAAAAAGGCCGTTAGTATTAATAAGGGCGTCGTGCTTGAGTAATTTGTTGTTTTAAATAATATGCTTCAAAATTATTAATCATTAATGCGCGCGGTGTTCTTGTTAATCGTTTTTATTTTATGTAAATTACTCTGTCAAATTTAATTTCCTTCAGTTTATGTCAGCACAGCATGCATGCTAGAGCAAAAATCACGATTCCTTCCTTGTGATTAAAGATTGTGATGAAGTATGTGTGCCTGTGTGACGGTTGATAGTTATAATACTGTTATGCAAGCTTTATATTTCTTTAACTGTGGCTTATTGCTATCTTTATTGTTGAAGCTACATCTGTATAATCACAATCAATCCAGGAATTTGGAAGTGTTATATGTAATTAGGTTTTTTGGTACACGTTATAGCAAAAACCCAATTGGCACAAGTTCCTTTTTCTATTTAAAAAACAATGGAGCATTAATATAAATGAAAAATTGAACCACAAACTGGTGGCTATAAGCTTTTTGCAAAAAATCTGGTGACAAACCCACAACCAAGCTTGTTGCTTGCTTAATATTTGTTGACTCATATTCAGTACCAAGTCTAGTCATATTCTGTACCAAGTGAACAAATATTAAGTCACATAAATCAATAATTTTGCGGTACTAGTTCAACTAATATTTGATACGAGGTAAACTAATATTCAATACCAAGTTAACTGATATTCAGTGTTTACTCAACACGTATTCAGTGTTGATATGGTTTTCAATAATGGTTCATGTGATTATGAATACTGGTTCGACACCTAATGAATATTTGTTCATTTTTTTGGAATGTTTGTTGGTCATGAAGACCTCAACAATATGTACAGATCGCTTAAGATCTCATCAAATATTTGTTAAACTAGTCAATTAGAAATGTATGGTATTCATAAAAAAAATATTGGGCAGGGTAACAATTCACATATGAGTGTAAACTAATTAGATAACACTATTGAAAATGAATAGAAAACATATTTTGGTATTGAATATGATTTTATATGTTATCAAACGTTAATTGAATTAATATCGAAGATGATTGATTTATTTGAATTGAATATTTGTTAGGTCAACGTTGAATGTGAGATAACCTCTTACTGGATATTAATTTACTTGGGATTAAATATTAACTGAATTTGTACTTGAGAAGAATGATTTATTTTATACATTCAACTCATATTCTTTCGCATGTTACTCAGATTTGATACCAACTGAACTCATTACTTCAGATACTCAGTATTTGGGTAAGCTATACGATAAATGCACGATAAATATTCATATCCCCCAGACTAATATTCATATTGCCCAAACTAATATTGATCACACTCCCTTCCAAACCACTCGAAACATCTTATATTCATCAAAATTTCATGGGTCGGTGAATATACAGAAGCTAGTGTGTTGAGGTCGATTTGACCTTGCTCTCCCATGTTTATCTACATGTTATCGGCTGGTTGATCTCTTCTCGGTGAGTGCTCGAAAGAATCGAATCCAAACTCATTTTTCTTACTTCGTCTTTCTTCTTTCTTTAACTGCATATCCATATCTCTTCTAAAACAAATCCATGAACAAACACGAACAAGACATGCATATAAAAAAAATTGAAAACCTAAATCTAGATTTTTAGCATCTCTCATGTTATAAATTTCTTCCTTTGGGAGAAATTTTTTTCCATTGAAAGAACAGAAGATAGTGGAGAAAGAAAGAGAAAAATTGAGAGTGAGGAGATTATTCCGTTTTGATTTTTGTTGGGAAAGGAAGAGAGATCGGACCTTAAGGGTGCGTTCCATGCCACGTCAGCACGCGAACCGCACTAGGAAGGTGCGGTGTGCTTTCTCTGCGGAACGGTCTTCAAGACCGTTGGATGCAGGAGCGATCGGACCGCGGACCGCACGCCAGCAGAGCGATCCGCGCCATGGATCGGGGACCGCAGCTGCAAGGCGCGGTCAGCGCCTCATGACTCGCAAATCGCCTCGGCAAGCTGCGGTTTTGACTGGGGCAAAATTATTCGACCGCCCCTAGGGGGTGCAGTCTGATGGGTATGGCTGCGGTCTGATGGGTATAAATACCCCTCCCCCCCCCCCTCTCATTTTTTCCACACCACAACCATTCTCCACTCTCTCTCTCTCTCTCTCTAGAATTAGCTCTCTAACCCCTCCCCTTCCCTCCCAAAAATCTAGGAAATAGTGGTCTGTTGGTTGCGGCTAAGTCCGATCTGCCATCAGAAAACATTTCTTAGGTTATTTCCTCAAAACCCGCCGAGCCGAATCTCTGTCAGAATTTTGGTTTTTTCGTCAAAACCCACCGATCCGAGCCGAATCTTTGTCCGAATTTCCGAAAAAAATGGCCGATTGGTGGCAAGGAGAGGGAGTTTATGTTGATGAATTTCTAGCGGTACGTACTCATTATTCTGGTTTAATTTTTGTTGTTGTTATAAGCTTTTTAATTAATCTATGTACTAACCTCGTTGTTATTTTCTCGTAGGTTGGGGATGACGTGGATATATACAACCAATGGTATTATCTCGAGCAAGGACCGTTGGATCCAACCGACTTGTACGACCAACCCAATCATCGGTCAAGGGATGTTTGGAACGATCACCCGGTACATACAATTCTTCACCATTTGTCTTTCTTTTATTTTGTTAATGTATTTAGTGGAATATAAAATAAATTTATGTTGAAATTTTAATCGTGTTGATACCGGAAATAGACCGATTTTATATCACCCTTCAATTCGAATTAGCAAAAGCAATGTCTCTGGTTGTTTTCAATAATTTAATCGAATACATAGCGCCACTTACTTCGACTCTTTATAAAGAATTGCACGTCTAAAGAAATGAGGTTTTAAGAGATTATCATATCCTCCCATTCCCTTGGAAAATCGGGTATTAAGAGATCCTCGGATCCCCCTGTTTTCTGTCAAAAAGACTGCGTTTCTAAGAAGATGTAGACCTCTTCTAAGAGTCTAACGAGTGTTGCTCTGTATTCAATTAAATTATTTAAAACAACCAATACGATTAAATTATTTACCAAACAACCAATATGATTTATTTTTATGTGTACAAAATGAATTTTATTAATTTCAAACATTTGAATATGTATGTTTCTCTTTAAATTATTGTTCATTTACAATGTTATTTATGTTAATTAATTTAGTATGTTTGTTTTACGATAATATGTATGGATCTCTTTAAATTATTATTCATTTAGAATGTTATTATGTTAATTAATTTAGGATGTTTGTTTTATGAGAATATGTATGTATCTCTTTAAATTATTATTGATTTAGAATGTTATTATGTTAATTATATGAAATGTATTTTTATGATAATAAAATTCTGCTTGAAGTTAAATAATTTAATTAATTTAGTTATAAGAAAAAAACCCTTACTAATATATAATAATTAACGTGTAAATTTTCGCTAGGAGGCACAAACAATACTCCGCTACATGTGCTCCCATTCCACCCAGCTATCTTGCCCTTTCTCAAAAGGGCACGGTTGGATCCGATTACGCATTTTAACGGCATCAAAGTCGATTTAACTCATCACCTCATTAGTTGAGAGATGGAGAAAGGAGACCCATTGTTTCAACTTTAGAGAAGGAGAGGCCACCATCACGCTAAAGGATGTCGCCATCCTAACCCATCTGCCCATCGACGACAAACCGGTGTGCGCAAGTGATCATTCCCCCGAGGATCGTGACGGTATGCCCGGTTGGGTTCATTCCATCCACAGTGTTTTGGGAGTGAAAGTACCAGTCGAGGGGAGCGTTGATGCAACCGATCACTTGCCACCAATGAGGAAACACCAAGTCTCAATTACTTGGTTGACGAAGTATTTTAGAGACCATTACGAGACTCATCCCCTAACCGAGGAAAGTCCGGAGGATGAGAAGGAAAGATATGCTCGTGTCTATCTCATAGGCATGATCGGAGGAGTGTTCTTCTCCAAAAAATCAAGCAATCTCCTTAGCTATGGATGGCTTAGGATCATCCTCGGTAGTTGGGAGGAGATGGGGGAGTATAGCTGGGCCTCCGTCAGTTTGGTCGGGAGCAGTGCATTCCGTTGGAGGTCCCCGATAGTCAAAGGGTCTTTCATGGCCGAGATGGTCGGCAAGGTACTCGCGATTGGCCCACGAAGTTGGCGAAATTCATCACGATGTGGGACAACCGACAAATGCAGGATATTGTCACTCTAGCTCAAGTGGGTCGAATGGGGTATCATGACCCATACTTGGATCGATATTGGCAAACATCGGTTCGTTACATGACTCTGCAGGGTGCGGCCGATGGTGCATTAGAAAGTATATTCCGTCTAAACTATTAAATTTATTACTTGGTTCCTAAATTTTTTTCTAACTTTTTTTTTGTGATTTAGGCTGATGGGATCGAGCGGATCAAAGATATGACCACCGGGAGAGTTGAGCTGGGCAATGAAGATGTGAGCTTCATCAGGAGGATGTCAAACAGTCTGCTTGGCTGTATCAGAGCTCAGGGTCGGGATCATCGTAGATATCCGCCCATGCCCGCACCCCCGCCACCTCCGCTACAATTTGATGTCCCCGATCCCCCACCACCATACGAGAGAAAGAAGAGCAAGAGGGTTCGGGAAAGGCCCAACGTGCCCGATGTAACGCCATATCAGGCGTGGAAAGTGCCGCCCCCATTGGTTGTGACACATGGTGCCGTCCCGAGTTCCACCCAAGCTCCCCGCCTGAGTTTCCCCCAAGGTGCCGGCTTGAGTTCCACCCAAGCTCCCCGCCCGAGTTCCGCCCAAGATCCCCGCCCGAGTTCATCCCAAGAGTTCCGCCCCTCCTACCACAACGATCCCCACCCAAGCTCATACTACGATCCCCGCTCGACCTACCATCAATCCCCTCCGAGTTTCCATTAATCCCCATATGATCTCACCCCGATCTCATACAACGATCCCCGCCAAACATACTACGATTCCCGCCCGGTCTACCCCCCTT